ACAATTTACTTACCGATTTTTATTATGAAAAATGTGCGTTATCGACAAACCGCTTGCTGTAGTTTGGTGGTAGAATTCAGCTGCAGCAGAAGCAATATCTCTTATTAAATATGCGATCACAAGTATATGTACTTATTCATAGAGATAAACTCTCCGAATCAAGAGTTACACCCAACAGATTAATGTGAAATCAAAAGATTATAATACTATTCTAATAGGATATAAAAGAATAATAATGGGAAATTACGAAAATTGTTGATTATGAAAGATTTAAAGCATGCGAAGAAGGATTATCGAATGATTATGCAATTGGCCATGTACTAGCAATACAGTGGCCAATAGTCGATTAGAATTGGATGAAGGTGGTTATATTTATTACAAGTGTGGAGGATATTTTTGCTGTTGGTGATGTACAAGATATTAAAAATCGTCATGTAGGTGACTTGGGTAATGTTCTAGTTGGTCCTGATGGCACTGTTAAAGACTCATTTTCAGATGAACTAATTAAATTAATTGGCGAACGCTCAGTAATCGGGTATTTAAATTTATCTATTTATAAATTTGTATCATTTTTTCTTCCTTTTTTTTCTCTCATGCACCTACATTCTCTTCCTTTAATTAATATAGACGTACTGTAGTTGTTCACGCTGATCCAGATGATCTTGGTAAAGGTGGTGTTGAGCTTTCACTTACAACTGGTAATGCAGGTGCTCGTCTTGCTTGTGGTGTTATTGGTAATTAATATTTTTTATTGATTTAGTACATAATTATGATTTTTTATTGTTGTTTTTTTCCTCCAACAACTAATTTCTTTCTCTCTTATTATAACAAATATTTATAGGAATCACTAAATAAATTTATTATCATGAATTAAAATTTACAGAAATGGATTATGATTTTTTTTATGATTATTTGTTAATGGTATTTTTTTTACTTGCTCATTATCAATAAATAATTAAAATTGAAAACAATGGACATTGTTGCAGACGATATTCAAAATTTTATGCCGTGTAACGATTCGTGTTCAAGTATTTGGCTTACAACTTAACAATTTTTGAAAAAGAAAAAAATTTGATTCAAAAAAATAATATTATATCGAAAAATTTATTAAAATTATGTCAATGGATTCATATACAAAGCTACGTGGTTAAATAAGAAATTCAAGCATGGTTCTCGGAAGAATTTTCAGTCTTTAATTATTTGTCGTTGAAATTAGGTATTTTTAGTTTAAAAATTATGTTAAATTTTATTATCATGTTCTGATAATTAAAATCTATCTAAGGGACCCAATTCAATATATTGAAGATGAAAGGGAGCCTTCAAAATTATTTGTCAAAATAACAAAGATTTGAAATTCTTTATTTTATTTGTATTATAAGTGGTTTAAAAATATTCACTTCCAAAAAATCATCTATTGCTGATTTGGAATTAATTATATATCGAAATCAAATAAAAATGATATTCTGCCATGTTTAACTCCTGAAGTGTTAAATGACATTAGGTATATATATCTTTGGGTATTATCTCTACAGGCTAATAATTTAGCATTTGGTCCAGA